GGGGAGCTGTTTTCCTCTCCTGCCTGGGTAGATTCATTTCACAGTCATCCCGCCTGCCGGCTCTAATTCCTAGCACGTATATTGTGCGGTTCCTCCATTTTTTTTTTTTAAATTATTTTTTTACCACCCAGGCATCTTCAAGTTTCGAATTCCAGTTGGGAGTCTCTTCTTCCTACAGGTGCGTGTAGGAGTAGACTCTGTTGCTCCAGTGGAATTGCTCGCGAGGGAAGAGCCTTGCAAGGAGGTGTTTGGCTGCTCTGCGTCAGCTGCATAAGGAGAACTCTGTTATTATTGGGAAGGTTCAGTTGATTTTGTAAATCCTTGCGAGAAAGCAAACCCAAGCTCCATCCCTTTACAGTGGTTTCACGGTTGTAATTTCTCGTGTGAAAGATACCGGTGCTTTACAGATGTGTTTGTCAGCAGGTGATGTTGGATTTTTCACTCCTGGGAGGCATCCACATGTTTTTCGTTGAGGTTGCAGACCAGGGCAAGGTTGAACTTGCTTACATCCATCCCCCCAGCGTTGGTTATTTTTAATTGAATGATGTGTAAGAACTTTAAGCAATGCCTTGTTTGAACAAAATGAAGTGAGAAAATAGGACATGCTAAGGTGCTGTAGCAAAGTTGATCTTAAGGAGTAGCTATGTTTTATCGGACAAGCCTGGTGCCAGGAAAGCTGCTGCTCAGTTAGGAAAAAAACCCCAGTAAGTGGAAGAATCAAAAACACCAAGTGTTTGTGTCTTGGCGCTTGCACTGAACTTGAAGTTGTGATACCGATTCCTGAACGTTTTTTGCTACTGTTCAATCACGTTACATATAAATGCATACACTTCTGCTCTGTAGTATATGTAATGGAAGCATCACACTGCTAAGATGTCTTAAAATAATCTTTTGTCAGAAATATTATGACATGTTTTAGAATAAAAAATTATAACCAAGTACTTTTTTCTTCTGTCCCACAGAGGCGAACTATGCAAGTAGCACCAGAATTCCCCTCCCTGGTGACGGACCAGCTATTCAGTCAAACAGTTCAGCACCATCCAAACAAACTGTTCTGTCTTGGCAAGCTGCAATTGATGCTGCTAGACAAGCAAAGGCTGCCCAAAATATGAGTACCGCCTCAGCCCAGCCTGTAGGATCTCTGTCCCAAAGAAAACGCCAGCAATATGCCAAGAGCAAAAAACAGGGTAATACGTCTAATAGTCGTCCACCCCGTGCCCTTTTCTGTTTATCCCTCAACAACCCAATACGAAGAGCCTGCATTAGTCTAGTAGAATGGAAGTATCCTTTGATGCAGTTTCCTTTTTTGCAGCCTGTTCTTCACGTTTTCTGAATGTGTCAAGGGGGTTGTTTTATACCATCTCTGGCAGCGTCACAGCTAATGCATTAGTTCACTTGCACGTGTGGGTAGCTGTCGTTAATGTTGATGGTAGTTAATTTTGCTTAAATTACTGTTAAAGATAGCCTCTTAATTTGTGTCAGAGTGACACAGAGTATCACTTTACTGAAGTAGTTAAAAATCATGAGAAAAGCTCACAGCTGTTCTTTTTTTGGAGGAGATGGAACGTTTTCACAACTTTGTAAATTTACAAGCTTACATTATATTCCAGCAAATCTCTTTATTGCATTTGTTACCCTTCCAGATAAGATTGAATGGGTGGGAGTGCATCTAGTAGTGTTAATTGGGAGATGACCTAAGATACCAAACTGTATCTTCCACATTGCTATTTGGTATATTGCCGTTAGGGTGTATGAGTCAGATGTGAAATCTTTTTAAAAAGATTTTTCCAAGGGCTGAAAGTGCGGAAGATTTTTAGCTAGGTCAAGGACTTGTTCTAAGTACGCACATGCGTCTGAAATATATTAATCTTCTGAACTTTTACAACGTATGTCTACCACCAAACCTGTTTGGAACCATGTACATCTGTAGATACGAGAACAGATCTGCTGGTCTGCGATCTTGATGACTTGTATGCCGGGAAAGATTGCTTTATATTTATTTAGTAGTTGATGTGGAGGAAGTGGATTTCTTTGGCCCAACTGATAGCATGTTGATTTGGTATATTATTTAATTCTCAAAAAAAGGTTTGAAGTAGAAAATACTTTTGTTGAGGAACAAGAGTGAACATGTTTGCCTATTAGCCATGGCAACATCCCTCTAATAGGAAACAGATGCTTAAGAGAGTAGACTGCTGGAGTAAAACTCATTTTGTTACTTTAAACAGAATGGCCAACCTGGCAATAGGAGCTGTTAGTTGTTTGTAGGGCTTGTTTTTTTTCAATTCTTTTAACATAATTCAATTGCAAATGAAAGATGCTGCTTTCATTTACACTGGTAGAAGTCCAACTAATTTCAGTAAATTGGCCTCTCCTTGGCTAAGGTCAGTTAAATAAAGTTACAATGCATCTAGAGTGGAACAACTCAGGGCAGGATTTGTCCCAGTAGCACGACATTGTGAAACAAGGTTGTCACTCTTGAGCTGGTACCACTTGTTTGTTTCACTCCTGTTACTGAGTGTGTTGTAACTTTATTTTGTACACAGCACAGCAGCTGTTGATGTTGATAGGCTTTGTGAATATAAACTCACCCCTTGAAGTGACAGACTTTTTGTAGGCTAACAAACAAAATTTAACAGATCTTAGAGGGCATATGAACTTTGTAGGAGTGTGGGTGTTTTTTGGGTTTTTTTTTCAGGAAAAATTATTTTTAACTGACAAAAATACACATTTGAGGATAGTCAGTACTCTTCCTCTAAGTACATTCAGAATTTTTCCTTCAGTCTTTTATGGAACTCTTATGGACACATATTGGGAAGTTGTGTGTTGAATTGAGGAAAGGATGTAAAAAATAATAGCTAAAGCCCAAACTGCTCCCTTGCCCAACTTCCATGAACAGGTTCATCCATGTTTGTAGTTAAAAGAAAATAATGAGATACCTTGGGAAAAAGGTAGATTAATGATGCACTGAAGGATGAACTTGGTAGGCATGAATTTTAAGAAATACCTTTTGCCTTCTAAAAAGAAAAATATCTCCAGGTTTCAAATACTGTCATCCAAATGCGGTATAAGAAAAGTGTAGTTGCAATTTGTGCTGTTATCCATGTGAAGGCCTGTAGCTGCTCAGGATGCGTGGCTGCCAATCCAGCCGTGCTGTTCCATTCCACAGCCTCCTCACCTCAACTTTCATCTGTCCTGCCTAAAGCAAAATTGTTTGGGAACCAGCTCTCAGACGTGAGGAGGGGCGCAGACTTTTCCTGTGCCTGTTGTACAGCTTTCCAGCTCTCAGACAGGAGAACAGTTGTGATTTGCTGGGAATCTTTCTCATGTTCTGCCACAGACTGGATCGCAAATGATTTTCCTCCTTTGGACCAATGCATTTCAGTTAACATTAATGACACTTACGTGAGCATATAAGGACAGAAGAGCCTAGTAAGTATTTGTTACCCATCACAGTGACCCATGTGTCAGTTTAAGATTGCCCAACTGTATTCATTTAATATAAAGTGCTCTGTGGCAGAAAGAGTGATGGTTTTTTCTTTTTTCAAAAAGAAGAGGATAATGAAAGAACATTATGTTGGAAAATAACACGATACAGTGATTTAGCTAGAGATGATGAAGTGTTTGTCACAGTTATCAGTCAAAAGGTTGCCTTGAAAGTAAAACTTGTTTTTTGAGTGTTGATGCTGAAAGGAGGAGACTTAAAAGTTTGCAGATACTCACAGTTCATTAATTCCTTAACAAGATTTTCCAGACCATTTGACATATTTATACTATTGTCTATTTTTGCCAATTGTGTGGCCTTAGCTGTTTACATCCCATTCCCAGAAGATGATTCTAATTCAACTAATCATAATTTGGTAAGTATTACTGAGTTATTTTATATTTGTTTCTTATACTTTAACTTGATAGTTGTGACTAGCTGCTAGTATTTGAGACTGTATTAAGCATAGATAATTTTAGTAAAAAAAAAAAAGATGTATAGTGGTACTTTAAAATAAAATGTATATGGAATTGCTTTGGTTTTTTTTTTCAGTTTTAATATGTGATCGTTTATGTTTAAAATTTTTCAGCAGTGAATTCTTTGGAAAGGAATGTATATTAATATTATGTTGCATGTATATATCTATTTGTGTCGTATAAAATTTAATTAGAAATTCTATTGATTGATTATATTTACTAGCTGTTACTATTTCTGACACTTGTTTCAGTCCTTCTGAAGCTCTGTTAATTTTCTTAGTATCCTTGTCTAATCTGTTTTCAATTTTTAGTGGTGATATTTAGCTGTGTGCTTTACCAGATACTAAGTTTTTAATGAGAGGACAGTGAGAAATTTTACATTATTACATTTTAAAGTGATAGGAACATCAGTGTGAATTTTAAAAACGGTCACTGCTGGTCTAAGTGATCTTTCAGAAAAGTGCTGGTACTGCAGTATACATGTGTAGAGATGTATTTGATGGAAAATAGTGTACTAGTATTATGCCTAAAAATACCATGAAAGCTAATTTTGCTTAAATTCTCTCTTAAAACTTATAAAGGCTATCACGCTCAAGGGAAATACTGAATTACACTGCAATAATTTCATTGCTTATAATAAGCACTATCTTGAAATAATTAGTGGAGTTCAGCAGTCCTGTGCACTCAAAATCTGCGTGTGACTTTTGGGGGGAGAGAAGATGTTTGCTTATAAAATAGAGTTGGATACTAGTAAGTTCGTAATTTTGGATTAATTTACCTCTACAGTAAAATCTGCGTGTGACTTTTGGGGGGAGAGAAGATGTTTGCTTATAAAATAGAGTTGGATACTAGTAAGTATCCAACTTAAACTCTACAGTTTAAGCTCATATGTGGTTTTCTATTTATGAACATGTTCGTGTATATTGTTGTGTGAAAGCTTGTTTATTTTCCTAAAAGTAATCTGTGCATATGACCCATTTTATATGTTTTTGTGTGTATTAAAATGAAGCAAATATGAACAATAAAAAATGCTGGCGGAAGGCAGAATAATTCAGGTCAATGTAAAGAACGATTTATGCAGCTGTGTTTCTAGCCAACCAACAGTCTTTATCTCTCTCTTTTTTTTTTTTTTCCCCTCCCCTCCCCTGAGAAATTCAGGGCACAAATCTCCATAGCTGTCAATCCACCAAGAGATCCGCTAATAACTAATTTCATAAAGCATTACATGAAAAGGGTAAAGCAGTTACTTGTGTCAGAGGCTAATCATTTTGAAAGAAATGTTTTTAGTATTAGTTTTGTTAGGCTAATATCTGGCATTTCTGACCTAATTCTACAATGTGCTAGTATTTGGAAATCGTGTCTGATGTTTTTTCTTTGTTTTTGTCTAATGTAGCCAAGTTAGCCTAAGCAAAAACAAATTATGCATTTTTTGAGTGTTACCTGTTTTTGAGTGGAAAGGTTCTTGAATACCCTCAATTATATGTATATAAAGTTTACCTGGCCATTTAAATTCCCTCAAATTCCCATTTAAATTTGCATCCCATTTATACTGATGTTGAGTAATTCCACTTGGTTTGACTGGAGAACAAAACTTATCCTGACAATGTACTTTTGAGTGCCGGGGCAGATTAAAGCCCAATAAGGAAACACAGATTGTGTGTACCTGATCTCATCAAACCAATAGTTCTGGAATGAGCAGCATTGGCTTTTCTTGTGAGTAAGGTTCTACAGAGTGAAGTACACTAACCGGTGGCCTGCGTTCAGATTTCTTTCTCTGGTATTTCACTGACATTTTTGCTAGTGTGGACCCATTCCTTTGTTGAACTCTTTGTGGATTCATTATGTACTGTGAGAAAATGCCACAGAAGGACCCAGCTAGAAACCTTCAGGCTTGCTGGGGAACCTGCTCATGCTTGCGTTCCCTCATGCTTGAGGCACACGTATAGATATGTACCTGAGAGAGAGGGCTGTCAGTTTTCTTGTAGCAGAAATAGGGGGTTTTGTGTTGAATAATGTTTAGACCTTTTGTGGTACTGGTTTAAAAACCAGCCCAAATCTTGAAAATTAAATCTTCTTAATAGGTTTGGTAGGATATTAGCCCTCTGCATATAGGGATGTCTTCCATGAGCCCTGCACTGCTGGTTTGATCTTGCTTTAATTCACTCTGGCTTTAATCTAAATTCAAAAGTTGAGGAAAAGAAGATAACCTTTCTCCTTCCAACCCAGATGTTTGTCTCTATCAACTTCACAGCCTTTTCTCCCCGCTTTCCTCTCTGGACATAGGCTTCCGTTGACGCTGTGCAGATTGCAGCACGGTGCCTTGGTGGGCGAGAGCAGAGCGAGGTCCAGGAACACAGGCTGCTTCCAGTGCCTTCAGTTCCTTGTTATGTAAACCCCAGAAGTCCAGCTTTATAAATTTTGGTTTGTATAAGGATATTATATCTAGGGCTTGTTCCTTAGGGAGTAAATCAATGTTGCATCATTGAGATGAACAGATTGATTGCTTTCCATCAGCTAGCTGAACTGGCTCATGTTTTTTTAATTTGTAAACAGAAAAATTAAATATTCATGCATGTGGATTTTTTTTTTTTGTGAAAAGAAATATACATAAATTTTAATCAGCCATGGAAAGAGGAATCAGTGGTATAGGAGGCTAAAAACCAATGCAATACTGGTAAGTGGGACCTAGAAAGGGAAACTTTTTTGGTTTTGCTTGGGCTAGGGAGAAGAGTGCATGTATGAGAATTTGAGCAGTCGAAGGGTTCATTCTTTATGACTTAAGGAAGTCTGCAGTGGCAACCTCAGTCCAAGGGCGTGCATACAGAACAGATGGTCATTCCTCTTTGTGGTGGGATGTTAGAAGACAGCTTCTGTATGATGGAATTTCCAAGGCTTCAAGAGAAACCTGACATGCTGTCTGAGTCTGTCTGCATCTGTGGCTGAGCCGCTGAAACACTGACCATGTGTCAACCACCTAACTGCTGGCTGAGCTGTGTGTGAGCCCTGTTCTTTCTCATGAACCTTTGAACATGCGGTGTCTAATCAATGCAAAGTTGGTTATGTGTTGCAGTAGTAATGGCAAAAGAAATTTTAGCATGAGTTAACTAAAATATATCAAACATTTTTAAGAAACAGGCAGATGTGTCTTAAGAGAAATAGCAAATCAAATGTATGCATATTCATGTATTTTTAAAAAGTAGAATGTATCATGGGTATCTGTTATTCTTGAATATGAGTCAGTTTTTAATCTTGAATACCTTAACATAAATATCTGTGAGAATGTTCCACACCCTTTTTCTTCTTGGAACAGCATACTGTTTATAGAAAATTGACGGAGCAAGCTAAGTGTAAGGGTGGGACCGTTGTCTGTTTCTGTGTTGGTCAGGGGTCTTTACTGATTCACAAATTGTGATTATTGAAGTTTTTGTGATTGGAGTCAGCGGCATGCTGTGAGATGAGATACTTATGATAACTTAAGCAAGAAAAGATTTCTTTGTAATATCAGTGACTAAATTAAGCGGATGGTAATCACTTGTGTTGTAGAGTAGAAGTTTTTTTTTTTTCTTTTGTGTTCATCTTCTCAGTAGACGAGCTTAGATTTCTGTCTTGCTTTTTTGCCACTCTCTGAGAGCAGAGGATGTACTACAGCTATCTTCTTGCACAGTGGATTCACTGTCATCCTTATTCTTGAGAATAACGTGTCAGTACTGGGTGATACAAAGCATTTCAAAGAAGAAGTGCAGAGTTAAATTCGGGCTGGACTGTGCTTGACCACTTGCCAAGTGTTACAGTCCTGTGTTCTGTAAAAAAGTTTATCTAATCCTTTGTCTAAAACCCCTTGACATGTGTCTCTGATGTGTGCCAGGAGAGGCAGCAGGAAGGGATCTTCTTTTCTATACTTTGAATGGAGTAGCTCTCTCATGCTTTTCTGCTTCTTTTCTGTACTTTGAATGGAGTAGCTCTCATGCTTTTCTTCACTGCATGGAATGCAGTACAGGCCAATGAGCTTAAAACAGTTATTGAACGTGATCCTGAATTCTACTTAATTAATAATTAGTTCCTAATCAGCTTGTTCTTTCATAAGTGAGCCCAGTTCTTCTGCAAGTAGGTGGGTGAATATTATTGAACCAGGTAAGTTATTTTTTTTTCTCTTGCAGCAGAACAGGGACAGTGTACCCTGGGATGAAATCCTCATAAGCTCACTGCTTTGGATTTTAATGTAGTTTCTTTCATCTGCCTTCAGAAGTTTCAGGTGATCTGAACATTCCATGCTTGATTCAGCTCTTCTTTTGGCAGTGTTTCTTGTCTGAGCTTGATAAGAAGCAGCTTCTGGCAGGAAGGGTTTTCAGTATATATCTATCTTCTGTTTCTGTCTTCCATTTTTCCCCATCTGTGGTGTTTTCTTCCCTTCATGTCTTTTTGTCTTTGTTAACTTCCCACTCATTTCTTTTTTTCTTCCTATCTTTTGTCTCTTACCCTCTGGCTTCCCTCTGTGTTTACTCTTCTGTTTGTCCTCTTCTGCAGCATGCTTTGCTCTATCTCACTCTCCCACCTCAGTTTTTTTGTATCATCCTGCTGTACCATGTTCTGTTCTCCTGTGCTTTGCCTCCTACTGACTTTCCCGTTGGTCTGACTAGCACTGGGCTTCTGACTTTATAATGTGTGGGCAGACTGGCACAACACAAGCCTGGATTTTGGCTACGATCAAGACGTTTTTGGTTATATTTTTTCTTTCCTTAACAAATAATAATAAAAGTGAATGTGAACAATAAGAAGGCATTCATCCAGAGCCTATGAAAACTTTAGGGATGTAGTTTGAGTTGAGTCTACTTTGGGTGTGCCGTATCTCTTGTGACTAGACTCTGAAGGTTTTCACTGGTGACACTGTTCTGTGCAGAGG